AAAAAAAAAAAAAATGACATGGATGGGCCTTTGCTTTTTCAAGAAAATTAACTTGGCCACTTTCCCATTCACTTGCATGGAAAAAATAAAGTAGAGAGAGAAAAAGGGTGTACATAAACATATTGATGATTGATACAGTGACCTTAACCTAAAGGGGTCCTTTACTATTTTACCTTTTTGACTTCATGGGCAATTAGGGTTTCTGCCAGGGCCTCCATAATAGAAGTAATGGCCCCAATCTCCATTACCACCTGTTTGGATATCATAGCAGTTGGATTGTTCAGTGTATGTGCCAAGTTCTTTAGGAGCCTTAAGATTGTTGGAACTGTCAACAACTTGGATATTCTTGAAATAGCCCGACTTGCCAAAACCCTCTTCTGGGAATCGACCGCTGCCCATTTGAGTCGAAGTGTGCTGCCCGTCGGGTTGTGAATTTACGACCTCACCACCCCATTCTATCATGGAAGCACTCTCTGTTAAGTAGGAGAATAAGAAAGATGGCCAATAACCCAATACGTATCCATTGCCAAACTGCATCCACCAATTTCCCTCTTTTGGATCCTAGGATAAATTTAAAAGTTATAATAGGTTAATTATAATAGATTCTCTGTTTCATCACAAAACGCATCACAAGAGGGAAAGCAGGGTGAAATTTGGAATTTACCTTCCACACAAGAATGCTGATATCGTATTGGGAATTTCGATAGGAAGAGACGGGAGAGATACTTGCACCCATTGCTATTTGACTGCTGACTTGAATGAAACCAGAGCAGAGAAGATTATAGCAACCGGTGGCTTGATATGCATCACTCTATAGTTACAAACTGATATTAGCAATTTCCCTGGAGCTTTATTAGCATATAAAGAAAACAAACAACAAAAGAATAAGCTTACAGTCCAGTATGTGAACAATCTTGTGTTGTTATCACCGTAGAGATCAGGGCTAACCTGAAGTAATGTGCATTCTAATCAGTAAGAGGAATGCAACAAATTATGGTTGAAACAATAATTTAGAGAAAATGAACCTGCCAACCAGCTTCAATGCTATTGAGATCTTCACCGAATGAACCTCCCAGTAACCAAATTTGGGACAAACTGAACTCATTAGGCTGCTGTATTTTAGGTTCCCATACATTAATAGTTGCTTTTGCACCATAATACTTGTCTCCTTGGACATATGCTATTGCGTGCTGGTGAAACCATAAAATTAACAAAAGATAATTCACTTGATTATCGTATAAATAGAAAAGAAAAGAAAACACAAATAAAGAATGAAGATCTCATATGGATTCCAACATTAATGAGGAGTTGGAAAATCACACATTGATCAATAACGGAGATATTCAACAACTTAAAGAAAGACTGATCCTTTCAAATCCCTATGACCAAATAGAGTATCAGTCTGATTCCCAAAACGGCTTAGACTCCTAATATTCCCATCTATGTATGAAAAGATTGATTTATCGACTTTTTTGATAAAGAGTCCGTTTTTATCCTGATCCATTTACCTGATGACCACTCTCGTTGGTGAGGTCAGGATCTGCGGACTTGGGCTTGGGGATAGTTCTGTGCTTCTTCTTCCCGTACCTTTTCACCGAGCTTGCTCTCAAGACATCTTCTTTCTTTGTTCTCCTTATCGGTATGGTGTCCTCAGGGCATTTCCCGTTCATGTGCCACAGCTGAGTGATTGAGTCAGTTCGTTCATTAGGCCCTGTCGACATCTTGTTCTCATTAAAAATTCCTTCCGGGTGATAGCTAGGCCTCATCTAAAGAACCGTGAGACAACCCATACACAAAATTAGATTAATGGAACAAAATGGATTAATGTAAGCACCAAAACTAAGGATAAAGAAACAGACCTGGATTTTGTGGTCTCTGAGAAAAGGGTGATCAAAAGCTGGTTGATGAGAAATGTGGACACAGTCAATTATATCTCCATCTGGACTCTGTTCCATCATTAAAAATACATCAATTAAAAAGAAGCTCTCTTCTTTCAAGAATTAATTAACAAAAGCGGAATTTCTTGCAAGTAAACATACCGAACAAAGAAAAATAAAAATAAAAAGAAAGGGGGTGGGAAGAGAAAGATTAAAAAATAATAAAAGAGAAGCAGAAAAGGAAAAAAAATTGCCCGCGAACTGAAACTATTCCCATACAATCCAGTGACCGGTTGAATCTTGAACTGCTAATCCAAAAAAAAAAAAAAGGAAAAAGGAAAGAAGAAGAACAGTCTTTGTATTCTCAACATGATATACACAAAATCACAGGCAAAAAATAAGAATAAATCGGGAAAAAAAAAAAAGATCTCATACAACTATACAAGAATGTAAGTTCGTTTCAAAAAAAAAAAAAAATGCAGAGAGAAGGGAAAACCTGAATGGTTTTAACAGGAGGTTTATTGAGTCTGTTCAAGTGTTTCTCAACTTCAAGCTTCTGTCTTGAAGCAGATAGCATTTTGGCGCAGGATAGTGAGATCAGACTCCATAAGCATACCGAGAAGAATGCCAGTCTCACCGGAGCTTCCCTCCTCCGATGGCCATTGCTAAACTGCGCACCACCCATTTTAATCTCCCCCACACCTTAAAGAAACAGGATGCCAAAGTGCCACACACAAAAAAAGCAAGCTTTTTGCTAGCGCTTACACACACACTCTACACTGAGGCTTCAATCGCAGCTTATAGGAGCTCAACGCAATTACAGCCAAAGATTACAATTTCTGCTTATCCTACGCCCCTGCTCAAGATTCCAGAACAACACACTTCACCACGACCCCAAAATAAAAAAGAAAAAAAAAGGTTACAGATTCTTATTATCCTACGCACCCCGGGCAAGATTCGAGAACATCATCTCTGCTTATCCTACGCACCTCTTCTTCAGTACTTTTGGCAGTGATTGAGCACTCTCTCTCCTTCGAAAATTCCAATGAAAATGCTGGCATCCGTTTTTATGCCAAAATTTCACATTATTTTCTTTGAAAATGGTAGAACTGGTCCTCAAACTATTGTTCATGTAGCATGTTTCTCTCCAACATTTAAAAAATATAAAATTAGTCTTTACCTTTTTACTATATTCACAAAATAGTCCTCATTTACAGTCAGAACTTTTTGAGTTTTGCCTCGCTTAAAATTTTTAGGCACCAACTAGAGTTTAAAAATAAGATATATTAAATTAGCTATACACTTCACATGTTTCTAGATAATCACATGGCATCATCAAATAATACAAGTATTGGATAAGAATCTTCAACGCATCTTGATCCTTGGGAAAGGCTTTTAAGTTGCGGAATCGGCTTGATAATTTTATTCCTGGCCTATGGAGCCGTGGAGGCCTATTCCCGCCTAGCTTCAATTGGACATGTGAGATCACTAGGTGCTATGTAACAAAACTTTTGATGGAAGGTAAATCTCATTTTGATGGAACAGAAATTGATTAATTAAAAATTTTCTTATATTTCTGAAGATTGAAGACCATCATACTACTCTAGTAAAAGGTTAGGACCCTATAATGCAAATTTTCCCGTTTTCATTTTTGTTAGTTGGGGTTTGCCGGTTTGGTCTTCTTGGAACACCGGGGTAAAAGTGGGATGTTGGAAAGTGGATCGGTGTTTGTGCGCACTCAATGCTGTCCTTGTCGTTTTGGGAGGGTCCAATTTCTCACGACTTTCTATGGAGCTCCCTGTTTCACCCCTGAAATTTGAACTATTTACCCGTCTCATTACCATATTGCCCCTTGCTTTCTAAAATTAATTACAAAAACTTAATGATAGGACTAATTGCAATTTTAAATATCTTTTTCATTTTCTTTTTTCAATAATTAGTTCCTTTATTTAACAATTTATTCTTTGAAAAAAGATGACCCTCAAACAGGTACTTAAATAATCAATTGTTTTTATAATAACAATTTGATCTTATGAACACAAAAACATATAAAGCCTGTTTGAGAGTGATTTTTCTCTCAAAAAAATTGATTTTTTGATTGTTATTTCACTATTTCAGTCGTCATATTTGACTTATTCTCTCACAGGTAGACTTCACTTTTTTTCTTAACGATAAAAAAATTAATTATCAAAATCACTCCCAAATAGGCTCATAAGGTGAGCCAAAACCAAAATAAGTGTCAATTGATAAGTATCATGATTAAGGAAAATAAGATAAAAGTAATATTATCAAAACTTTATTGAAAATTAGACCTTTTTTATTCATGACTAGAATATGTTCCTAAATAATTCGTTTTGCTTTTACCCCCACTTTTTCATTATCTTTTCTCCCACTTTTAATCAAAAAACTACTTTATAAATCAAATATCGGTTTGTTTAATATTTTATGACTTCAAATTACTTCTTTATGGCACATGATTGCTTTATTAAGTGGGCCCTCTTTATACTTTTGTTTATTGATTTTTTAGGGGAATCCAATGAAAAATTTCAATGACTCAATTATTATAAGAAAATTGGACAAAATTGCTCAGAGATTCACTGCAGCAGCGTGGATAATGTTTTTTCCCTCGAAAAATAATTTTTATATTACAATAATGACAAAGGTCAAACGTATTTTTGTACAGTTTTCAGTCAAAGGTTGTACGGAGGCATTCATGTTTTCCCAAGGATTAAATTAATCCAATGACAAAAACAGCTTAGGAATTGACAAA